GGCCGTGCACAGCGTCCAGCCCATCCCAGATTAAGAAGACCTAGGGGCTCTTAGCACTTTTTAGGTCAGAAAATGAGAGTTTTATTCCTCCCATGTTCAGCAGAAGAGACCTCCAGCCCTAATTCCTTAATAACAAGGAGGATACAATGTCTCAGTGGTGCAATGAGCCAGTATAGAACCTTGGACCCAGGAATGAAAAACTACCAGGTGGCCGAAAAGCCAAGTTAAGACCAAATGGTCAAAAGATGTCAAAAACTACTATTCTGCATGCACTGTTGACCAGGGTGTGGCTGCTATATGACATTCCTGAGGTGACAGTAATGAGCAACACCATTACCTTTTCATCTTAGCACAGGTGCTGAGATGGTTGGCAAGAAACCCAAGGAAAGGAGGAGGTAACCGCAACCTCGGGTGGAAAACTCCACAAGCAGCCCTTCTTATGCGAGTTTGTCTTAACATGTAAATACTGGACTTCTTTGCCCTTCTTCTCAGGCCTCCTCATAGGAAGATAGCATCCATGTGCTAGAACTTTTGGCCTTAAAAGAACATAAGATCTCTAAATAAAAATTACAATTTGTCCAAACTCAGGTTCACTATTTGGCACATTTGATAATGTAGTTCTCTAAACAAGAACTACACCTGGATCCAGAGAAGCATCAAGAGTGTCCTAAGCTCCCAAGGCCCAAAACTAAGTGTGAGGTTTTCTTGGGCTAATGGGGTTTTGCTGAAGTGAGATCCCAAATTTCTTATGGCAAAACCTCTACGTGTCTTACTATAAGAATGACAGTCTTGATCCAATTTTATGGGAGGATCAGGATGACAGCCTTTAAAGGCTTAAAGGCGAGTTTAATAAACCCACCTGTTCTTGGGCATCCTATTAGATTCCCTTTTTCATTTTTGTGCAGGAAAAGGAAGGGAATGCCCTTGGGGCACTCACTTGAAAACATGGGGGTCGCCACAGTGTGACCCCCATGGGTATACATACTACCACTGCCAGCAGTGACTATGGCATGGACCCAGTGACTCCAAGACCACTCTTGCCGTAAATTCATTGCTGCTACTGCGCTCGTGCCACAGAAATGCTCATCACACCCAGCATCACATCCTTACTTCCTATGAAATCCTTTTTTTAACTGCTTCCCATATAACTCTTTCATGTTGTCATTACCTTAATCTAGCTACTCCTCTCCCTTCTGAGACTGGTGAAGCATCTCATGATCCCTCGTGACTATTTGCTGGACACTCCTCTAGGTAAAGCTGATTTCTCGCGGTCTATAGATGGTTCTCACTGAAAAGATTAAAATGGTAACTACTGTGCTGGGTATGCTATTGTAGCTCAGCCTTTTGAAGTCATCAAGGCAGCATCTTTGCCCATGGCCACGTCAGCACAGCAGGCCAAATTCTATGCCTCTGCTTGCATTTTACAGCAAAGTGTAAAACTGTCAACATTTATAGTGAGAGTAGATAGGCCTTCGAAGTGGTTCACGACTTTGGAATGTTATGGAAGCAATGTGGTTTCCTTATCTCTGACAAAGATGTATGTTCAGGAATTACTGGATGCTATACTTTTACCTTATGCTTGGCTGTTACTAAGATTCTAGGACATGCTACATTTGATTCCCTGGAAGTCAAGGAAATCACCTTGCTGACACTTCTGCTAAGAACACTGCCCTGAAAGGCATCAGCAACAATAAACATCCATCATGGTCCAAGGAGATGTTCCCCCAGTTGATAATTTAGAAAAACTGGCCACAGAAACCCAACAATTGGCTTTGGAAAAAGAAAAATAAGACTGAAAATGCAACGATTGCTCATTTGATGAGAAAGCTCTGGTTCGAACCAAACAACAACCGAGTCCTACCAGAAACTCTAAAATCTCCACGCCTTACCACTCTGCTGCATTAACCCACTGGTCCACTGACAAAGGAGAGCCTTCACGAATGAATATTGGGGGGGGAGATATTAACACAACTGCAAAAAGTGCCTACCTGAAGTGTCCCCCTGGGCAAAGTAAAACCCACGAAGCCCGTTCACATTGCTCCTAGACATTTAAAATTGCCTAAAAGACCATTTGAAGTTTGGCAAATAGATTTTATACAGCTTCCCCATTTGATGAATATAAATTATGTTTCAGTAATCATACGTATGTTTTCTCACTGGACTAAAGCTTTCCCTATAGACAAGCTAATGCCTCTACAGAGGCATTAGTCCTGTTAGAGAAGATTGTCCCTGCCTGGGAAACTCTTCTTGAACTCCAGTGATGGAAGGAGCCATTCTACTAGTCAAATGCAACAGCAAGTCTGTGCCATTTGGCCAGTTCTAGAACACTCTCACTATGCTTACTGACCTTGCTCTTAAGGCTTATTAATTGAACATATTTTTGGCACTATTAAATTCAATTGGCAAAATCTGTAGAAACTCTTCAAATACCTTAGCCAAAAGCATTGCTGTTAGTCATTTTAAATCTCAGATCTACCCGTTTTGGAACTCATAAACTTTTACCTTTTGAGATAATTATAGGATATCCCATGCATTTGATCCACAGTTAGTTAAAAGAGACATATTTCAATATTATAAAGGTTTAATTGCTTCTATTGAAAATAATCATGCTGCCCTGACTGGTGTAGCTCAGTGGGATGGGCATCACCCTGTAAACCAAAAGGTCATCAGTTTGATTTCTGGGCAGGGCACATGCCTGGGCTGCAGGCCAGATCCTTGGTTAGGGGTGTGCAAGAGGCAATCAATGGATGTTTCGCTTCCTCTTTCTTCCTCCTTTCCTCTCTCTAAAATAAATAAATAAAACCTTTTTTAAAGAAAATAGTCATGCTGTGGTAGAACAATCTTTTCATAGTGCCCACTAAAAAAATAAAAAACTCAAAATCCACACTCTATAATGTGGAGATTTTCTTTTTACAGAAAAAGACACCTCACAAAATATTCCGTCCAGCCTTGTGGAAAGGGTCCTTACAGGGCACTAGTGACAAACCCTTGTGATGCTAAGCCCCAGGGAATAGACTCTGGATCCGTGTATCCCTCCTGAAGAGGCTATAAATGCAGAGTGCAACTGGGTGCAGGTGACCTGAATCTAAAGCTGTCAAAAACTAAAACAGGCAACCTCTGAAGGAAAAAGTTGCCAAAACAAACTAGTCGGACCTATACAACGTTTCTCCTACTATTAAGTCTAATTTAATTTTTCTCTTTTCCTTGGAAGACATGTGCCCTTGTTTAGTTTTCCTAAGCTACTGTGAAGAGGGGGATTTTAAAAAACGGGGGCGGGGAGGGGCCTTTTCTGGTTATTAAATTGGTCATCAAGAACTTTGATTTATCCAAGATAATAATGGTGTTTGTTTCCTTATCTACAGGTCTGATCTGAGCTCCTGGTTTAAATTCATCATGTAACTTAAGTTGTTACACTAATTCTGTTTTAATTCTTATTAAGTTCTGCACCTGTCACGTGATAAGCCTGGAGGTGATCCATGCACTTCCCCTCTCATAGGAGAGACACCCAGAAGAGGTCCTTCCCAACATGAGGAGCAAAAAAGCCTCTGAAGTTGGAAGACCTAACTGTCAATCAGTGATGCTTTCAGGGAAAGATCTTGAGCCACAGGGCAAAATGATAAAAACTAACTGGGACTTTAAGATCATTTGGGTGGGTCTATGAGAGAGGCTGGAGCTTCTGGAAGTTCACATCGGCTCCAGTTTCTGGACAGTCCCTGAGAACTCCTACAGGAAAAACTCTACGTTCCCAACAAATCCCTGCTAGCAACAAGGAGTCAAAACCACAACACCGTGTCCCATTTTTCACGAAGAATTCAAGTTCAGTGTGGCAAGAGTGTAGGGAAACAGAAAAACTGTGGACTCCTCGTGGGAAGGTAAAATGGTTCAGCCATCTTCCGGAGAACAATTTCTCATTGTCTAAACAAAAGTATAAAAGGAAACCTGCAGACACAGCAGTTTCACTTCTAAGGATTTGTGAAATACAAGGCGCAGGTGGGCATGTGACACATACAACAGTACAGGCTACAGTGCAGCTGGAATTAGCAAATCACACACAGGATATAATCTAGAAACGGATTCAAGAGTCAAGAGTAAAACCCACAGGCCGCCCATGCTTCCTCACCCACACAGTGACACATTACGCTGCTGTAAAAGAGTAAGAGCCGTCTGCACGGAGCGCCATAAAACTTCTAATGGAGTTCGGGACGAGCTTCACAACGTAACAAATAGCCAGATGTATATAGAACTACCGCTTCCCTGAATTTTGAATTAATTTGTTAAGTAAAAAACATTTAAAACTCTCTGATGCCGCTAACGTTGGTGTGGCATTTGATTTTACTTTTACTTTTTAACGGAAGGAACCTGGAAAGTGCCACGGGGGGCGGGTGGAGCTTCACGTGGTGTTTTTGTTTATGTTTGTTTTTTGTTTGTTTTTCTGGGCCACGCATCGCTGCCTTTCCAGTTGGAGAAGCTTTGCAGCCCCGCAGCCCCCAGCCCTTGGCCGCGCATCCGAAGGTGGGCTGAAGGCCGTTTACTTTGACTGGAAATACGTGGAGTTCAGGTTGGGAACTGAAACGGCTTCCAAGTCAAAAAGAAGAAAAGCGACATTTAGCGGGCTGCCGGCTAATCGATTCGCGATAGCCAAGTCACAGAATTTAAACATAAGTGTAAAACATAATGTAGGACGCCAGTTTGTCGACCGCTCTCCGAGATTCCGGGACTTTCCGACTTGGCTACGAAGCGCTTCCCGGACTTGCCCGGAATCACCGGCCCCGCCAGCGCCGGCGGGGCCCGAGCAGCTCGCGCCCCCGCCCCCCACCCCGCCCAGCCCAGCCCGGGGGGCTGCTGCGCGCCGGGCCCGGCTCTGCCCTCGACTCGCCCACCGTCGTCCTGCGGGACCTGCCCGAACATGACCCGACGTGCCCGGGCACCCCGTCCTGTCCCCTTCCCCCTCCCGGCCACCGGGCGCGCCTTCCCCGCCAGGGACGGCGGCAGGTGCTCACCCGGAGGAAAAAGGACGAAGATCAGGGCGAGGAGGTGCCGGAGCCTCGGCCTGGGTCCCCGCTCGGAGCCGAGCGCCGGGGCGCGCCCGAGTGCCCGCCGCCCGGAGCCCTTGGAGAGCGCTTCGGGTCCCGGCTGCCGGCCGGAGCGACCCCGCGGAGCCATCGGAGTCTTCGGCGCGGCCCTGAGGAGCTGAGACGCCCCGTGGAGCCCGCGGTCTCCGATGCTTGAAGCTTCGCCGAGGAAGCAGCGATGCGCTTTTTAAAGCCGGGCAGCGGGCGAGCCCCCTGGCGCCACGAGGGAGCACCTATCACAGGTGGTGGGCGGAGACGCGGGACAGGAGGCTCCGGAGGTGACTCAAAGGCACGTGCTCTCCAGGGCGGACGGCGTAGGCCGGAGTCCCAGGGGCCCGCGTTTCCTCCCCCGACCAACGCACACGAAAGGCGGGGTCTCCCACCGGCCCCGTTCCGAACCCTGCCTGGCCCCTGCAGGTGGGGTGTCCGGCTGAGGTCCCTGAGCCCGCGGCGCGGTCCGGACCGGGTCCAGGGCTTGCGCCCTCTAGCCAAGGCGCGTGCTGGACCGAGGGGCACGAGACAGCCCCCTCTCTGCCTCGTCCCGAGTCCATGCCTCCCAAAGCCCAGTGCTCTGTCTCCGCTCCCGGGGGCAGCTGTTAGTAAACCGGACCCTTTCCCCTCCCCTTCGGATTCTGTCAATCAGTAACTAGTCGCGCCACTGCGCGTCATTCCTTGAGCTTCGCCGAGCTCCAGGGCGACGATGGTGAGAGTTTTGTCGAGCGTGCTGCGGCACGCTCAATCAATAAATAACGCCAATATTGGGGCCGGGAGGAACATCTGTTAAAAGTCTGTTAGTCCTGCCCGGTGCGGCTCAGTTGGTTGGAGCGTCCCTACCCGAAAGGTTGCACTTCGATTCCCTGTGGGCACGTATATCTCGCGCGCTGCCTCTCTCTCTCCAGCGCTCTTTCTTTCTCCCCCCTTCCCTCCCCCAAATCAGTAAATATATCCTCCGGTGAGCTTTAAAAAACAAAACAAAACAAACACTACTGTAGGTGGAAAAATGAAAACATTAAATAGCGTGCATTTTCCGTGGTTTTAATAAAAGTTAAGGGTTTTGTTACTGTTGTTTTGTATGTTTTTTTGATAGTTCTCTCTTCAAATCGAAAAGCTGGGCATGAGCTGGGTGGAGTCCATGCCTCGACTCAGATGAATAGGACACAGCAAAAGCCGCAGAATGTTAGTTAATCTTGAAACTCGATGGGTAAAGGCATTGTGCCCCCCTCCCCCCGCGCGCTTTCCACTCCCTCTTGCATCACTCCTTCTGGGGAAGCCCGCCCAGGGCCCTGCCGTGGGGACACTCAAGAAAGAGCTCCTGCAGCAAATGACTGAGGCCACGCTGCCCAGAGCCAGCAAGAACAGAGGCTTCTGCAACCGCCGCGTGATAAACCGCCTGCCTGTGCAGTTGACCCTCAGCTCCTGTCAGTCCTACAGCCGCCCTCGACCCCCACTCAGGAGAGACCCCGAGCCAGAACTGCTAAGCTACTCCCAATTTCTGACTCACAAAGACAGTCATTATACATGCTTGTGGTTTTAAGCTTCAGTGTTTTCAGGAGGTTTGTGGGTGGCAATAACCAACTATTACAAAATTCATGATGCATTGAGACCCCGAGTCAGTGCAAACTGATTCTTCCCTCACTCTGTCCCCGCTTTTGTCCTTTCATCTGCCTATGTCTCATGAACTGTGCTAATGGTCATATATCTAGATGATGGCAAAACAGTGAGATTTATGTGTATATGTATCGTTTAATCTCCCACAGCAAATATGTCCAACTCAAAATATATAATAAATATCATTTAAAAATATATAATGCTCTGTACTGTATCTAAGGGAAGCCTCTTTAGTATGATAAAATTCACTTTTTTCCATTATACATTTTTCCTCTTTTAAAAGAAGTTTTTTATTTATTTTTATTGGGGTGACATTGTATAACCTTCCTAGACTGAATCATGAAGAAATGGAAAAATCTGAATAGACTGATCAGCAGTGAGAAAATTGAAACAACCATCAAAAATCTCCGGAAACAGCCCTGGTTTGTGTGGCTCAGTGGACTGAGCCCCAGCCTGTGAACCACAGAGTCACTGGTTGGGTTCCTGGTTAAGGTACAGGCCTGGGTTGCAGGCCAGGTCCCCAGTTTGGGGTGTGAGAGAGGCAACCACACACCTATGTTTCTCTCCTTCTTTCTCCCTGCCTTCCCCTCTTTCTAAAAATAAATCAGTAAAATCTTAAAAAAAAAAAAAAAACCCTCCCCAAACATAAAAGTCCAGGACAAGATTGCTTCATTAGTTAAGTTTATCAAACATCCAAAGAAGATTTGATGTCTCTCCTTCTTAAACTCTTTAAAAAAATTGAAGAAGAGGCAATACTTTCTGACATATTATATGAGGCCAACATAATCCTGTTACCAAATGGGCAAAGATAACACTAGAATAGAAAACCACAGACCAATGTCTCTGATGAATACAGATGCAAAAATCCAAAACAAAATACTAGCAAATCAAATACCACAGTACAGTAACAAAATAATTCATCATGGTCACCTGGGTTTCATTCCAGAGGCACAAGGATGGTTCAACATACGCAATTCGATCAAGGTAATATGCCACATTAACAAAAGAAAACGTGAAAAATCATATTATCAATATGCAAAAAAGCATTTGATAATATACAACAAGTATTTATGATTAAAACACCGAATAAAACTAGTGGGTATAGAAGGAAAGTATCTCGGCATAACAAAGGCCATGTTTGACAAACCCTCAGCCAATATCATACTCAATGGTGAAAAATTGAAAGCTTTCCCTCTGAAATTAGGAATAAGACAAGGATGCCCACTCACCACTCTAATTCAAGATAGTTCTAAAATGTACTTTAACATGAATATTTCTCCTAACAAACCAAATACTTAAAAGTAAGCACTACCTTGAACAGGACTAGATTTTTCAAATCATGAGACAGACACACTTTGGAAAGAGGAACTTCAGGTGGAAACCTGAGCCAGCAGCCACTCAGTTGCATTTACAGTAATTGCTATTGCTCATCAGTAACAGAAGCAATCGACTCAATGTTACCATGTGCCAGGCAGCCGACTAATTTTAATCCTTATAACGTACATTAGGAGTAATGAGTATGAAATTATTGCCATTTTGAACGTCTCCTGAATGTGCCTTGCTTCACTTTAGAAAAAGAAGTCCAGATTTCCCGCCTTTATTATAAGAGAATTGCATAGTTGCCCATTTGCAGCAGGCCCACCAGCCCACGTTTCCCACTGGCATCTAGGTTTGCATGGGGTGGACGGGCAGGTGCAGCTTGGCCGAGTCCTTGGGTGGCACCAGCTTCGCAGCAGATGTTCTCAGGGTTTGACCACGCTTGCCTTTAAGCTGAAACACCCTGTGACACTTCCAACTTGAAAAGGTAAAAAAAAAAAATGCTCTGCTACAGCCTGGAAGCACAAGCAAGACTTTCTGAGTATGCCAAGTGTTTGGAAAACAAAACAATACAGGGAGTATCCCTTCAACAGAGGAAGGAAACTGGTCAATAGTCCCCTTTTTGGTGAGTGTGTGTGATTCACCCCCTCCCAATTCCTGGAAAGAACAAAAAAAAAATACTTGAAAGAACTAGATGGAGTGAGACAGTTCAAACTCCTTGGAAAGCATTTAAGGTGCCCAATGCCCTCTTCCCTTTTTGGCTTATATTTAACTTTAAAGCATGCTTGGTTTATCAGGTAAATATGCATCCTGGAAAAAGTCTCTTCTGAATTTTTCACTAATCAATTTTGATCCCCAGGTGTCCCTGAGGGGCAGCTTGCAAAGTTCCTTTCCGTCATTTCCTTGCACAGGAACAAGTGCAGGGCTCTACAATAGCTAGTAAACACATGACTGGTACTGAGAACACCCCTTACACCCAGATTCAAGAGGTAAAGTGTCAAGATTTTTTTTTTAAATTTCTTTTGGGAGGCACAAACATCTAGTAGTGAGCTTAGGAAACTATCATGGAAAAAGGTTGCGTAGCTCAAATTTTTTTTTTAAGCAAGGGGACCCAAGTTTGTTATCCTAAGCTGCCCTTTTAGGATATTGATTTTTAAGCTGTTTATTAAGAAAAAAAGACTAAGAGGAAGCCATTGACCACCCCCACTTCCTGCCTAAGAGAGAAACCTGCTTCAGGAAGATTAGGGTGTTGCCTCAGCCTGACCTGAATGAAGTAAGGTCAACAGAAGTTTTCAGCAGCTTCATGCTGGGTGGACACCCACTCACAGTGTTTCTGAGTTACCTAGTATGGGGGGGTCTTTGTCCAGCAAAGCTCCCCCAGGGCCACCTTGTATGAAAATAAGTCTACCAAGACATGATCTTCTTGGAGAGGAAAGGTGGCCACTCTCTCAAAGGAGAAGTGCCTTGAGCCTGTTCCTCAATGGGCTTTCACTGGGTTTAATTTGCATAGGAATACAGGGTGCATATGTATAGCTCATCAATCATTGTCAGGCAGTAATGATAAAACGATAGATAACATTCAAAGAACTATGAGGGCTTATTCTGAGTCAGGGTCAGATAGATATAGTGAAGGCAAAGGGCTATAAAACTGAGAAATTCATTTTACCCTTGGACCCTTGTCATTTAAATTAAGGGTATTCTTAGCAAAGTCGTTTTCATGGGATTTTATGTATTCTTTCTTAGGTCTGATTGCCCCAGAAACTGCCCATTCCAGCAAAGGGCCCCACCTGCCTCCAGCATTGTTTCAGGCTGAAAATCGGGTGGGGGATTTGGGCAGTCAAGAGATTAGGAGACTTCTTATAGACCGAATGAGGACTCAGGCTATGATAAAGCTGAAGGGTGAGGGTCCATCACCCCTTTTCTATAGTCCCCCTAACTCCTTCCCTGATGGCCCCTTTGAGACCATGTCTGTCTTAGGTTGTCCCTCTCTTGAGGAATCTTACCTGCCATTGGCTAATCAGTCATCCTCCCAGGGCCAAGCAGGGTGAAGTAAAGGGGGCAGAGACTGTGCCCCTGCTGGGAGTATAAGCTTTGTCTCCTTAGTGGCTTATGGTCCCAAGGTCTCTTTACTCAGCCTTAGCCATAGGGGGTTACAGGTTCTGAAACCAGGCAGGGCGGTTCCCAAGAACCTAGCAAAAATTTTCCTGCCATGTATCTTCTATTCTTCCTAATAGTTTATATTAGGTGTGACCCGTGTTTAGTCCTGCTTCGTAAATGGTTGGCTTTGCCAGGCCAACATGTCTCTCAGGAACGTAAGGACACCTGTGTAGACAAGGTCAGAAACTGAAATGAATGGTTTCAGAAATGGGAGCCCCAGGCCTTTCTCTGCCCTAATTCTCCTCGTAGCCCCTATTAAGTTTTGCCTTTTTCTGTGTATTCACCTGCTTTATCACTTCATTTTGTTAAAAAAAAAATTTATACATTTTGAGAGAGGGGGGAAGGAGGGAGAAAGGGAGGGAAGGGATCATCAGTGGGTGGCTGTCTCTTGTGTGCCCCTGACTGGGGGCCTAGCCCAGGCATGTGCCCTGAATGAGAATTGAACCAGCGACCCTCTGGTTCGCAGGCCTGTGCTCAATCCACTGAGTCACACCACCCAGGGCG